ATAATATCGCTTGGAGCACGAGAGGTGAGATCCAGACAGAATCACCACCACATGCTTGCCCACCACCCATGACAATGTAAGAGATGCTTGAAACAGCTTCTGCGGGGAAGCACTGACTTCTTACTGGGGCCCATAAAACTAAAAGCAGGAGAGAAGCTTGCCATCTCTGCCTCCATTTTGTACCTCTTGTCCATTGTCCTGAGCCATTCTCTCTTGCAGCCACCTTGGAATCAAGGAAAGACAAGAAGGATTGATAACATCTTTATGACAAGGGACTAAAACTACCCGTGAAGAACAGCAGGGCCCTACAGGACAGACCATCCCCAAAGAAGGACAATTACCTTAAGTGATGAGCTGCACCCTGGAGCAGGAGTAGTCCTGTAATGGGAACCAGATGGCTCCCCTCAAATGATGACAGCATAACAACTTCTCTAGATCCTTGAAGTCAAGGACTGAGATAATGGTCAGCCAGGCCCCACTTGACCACTGGCCCACCTGTGGCTGAGACTGTTTAACTACACATACCTTTTGTCCCCTGCCCTAATTCTTTACCTATTTAAAGCTAAAACTTATGTCTGTACCCCAAAGATGGGTGAAGATGGGCTGCGTGCTTATTTTGCCTCTTCCTACAGCATGTCCCAGGCCATGTAATAAATCTTTCTTTGCCAATTACCATGTCTATTTAGTGTGTAAGGTCAAGTGGCTGAACCTGGCATGTGGAAGCCCAGGAGTTTGGACCTTGGGCCCAAAACTTTGGTTTCAACATGACAGCTAGGTAATCAGAAGACAGAGCCAATGGGTCTGTGGAGCTGGCCTACCCCTCTCCTAACCCTCTGTCCCCTCCCCCTCATCCCAGGAGGTCAGAGGCCTCTGGACTTCATCCTGCACCCTCTGCTATATCCATCATGTCTTTGGAAGTGCCTATGATAGTGGGTCACCACTTTGTCTGTGTCCCACTCCTCAGACCCCTTCCCTTTCCAGTGTTTAAAGACTGCCCTTCTTAAGGAAGAACAAATATGATTGGTTCTTCGCCCTAATATAAACTCCTTTTGACCAAGGACAAAATTAAGAATCTTAATTGGTTTTATTTCCAAGTCTAGAATTGGATACCACTCTATTCTATAAAATAGAATACGTATTTTAACAATTCAAGCAGAAAAGATTGGTTTTATAGACACAAAGGGGCTAATAAAAGCAGAAAAAAGAAAGAAAAAGTGGCTTGGCCATTTTAAAGTTAACTGTAACAGGAGTCCAAGGTCAGAGGTCAGACTTTGGGGGTCCCTACCTGTCAAGTTCGGCCCCAAAGAAAATGGAAGTAATGGTGAAAGGGCAGGACAAGATTTAATCAATCTGTGCTGGGAAGGTGGAAAGAATTTCAGCCTGTCTTTGGGGGCACTGACATGATCTCTAGGTTTAAATAGAGGAAGTCGGGGCAGGGACGAGAAGCAGTGCAGGTCAAAGTGTGATCTGGTTGGTCATTATCTCAGTTCTGGTCCTGGTGGCTCAAAGAAGTCCTATTTCTTGAGGGGACAACCTGGTGTCCATAAGATGATTACTTCTGCTCCAGGGAGCAGCCTCCTTTTTTTTTTTTTTTTTTTTTCATTTTTCTTTTATTATTCATATGTGCATACAAGGCTTGGTTCATTCTCCCCCCTGCCCCCACCCTCTCCCTTACCACCCACTCCACCCCCTCCCTCTCCCCCCCCACCCCCACTCAATACCCAGCAGAAACTATTTTGCCCTTATTTCTAATTTTGTTGTAGAGAGAGTATAAGCAATAATAGGAAGGAACAAGGGTTTTTGCTGGTTGAGATAAGGATAGCTATACAGGGCATTGACTCACATTGATTTCCTGTGCGTGGGTGTTACCTTCTAGGTTAATTCTTTTTGATCTAACCTTTTCTCTAGTACCTGTTCCCCTTTTCCTATTGGCCTCAGTTGCTTTAAGGTATCTGCTTTAGTTTCTCTGCGTTAAGGCAACAAGTGCTAGCTAGTTTTTTTAGGTGTCTTACCTATCCTCACCCCTCCCTTGTGTGCTCTCGCTTTTATCATGTGCTCATAGTCCAATCCCCTTGTTGTGTTTGCCCTTGATCTAATGAGGGAGCAGCCTCCTTGACCTAAGTACCTCCCCTCATGATGGGGGATGAAGTCCTGTACTACAAGGCTCTGTTGCCCCTGTTGCTTGGGGGTACTTTCTTTCCCTTGTCATAAGCATGTTTCTAGATCAGCCCTGTTCTGGATTCCCACGTGACTGCAAGAGAGTGTCTCAGGAGGGAAAAATTAGAGGCAGAAACAGAGTCAGAGAGGGGCAAGATGGAGCTAGTTAGGCCAGGACCAGGGTCCTCCTTCCTTGCCCTCCCTGTAAGGTAGGGCAGGAAGACAAAACAAAAAATAACTGATGGACTTAGCTCTGATTACTTTAGGTTACCTTTTTCTATGAAAGTATTAAGGCAGAGGATCTTCGTTATCATGACAATGGAAGCTGGCCTGCTTGGGAAATTTGATTATCCTCTCTCTTGTCCTGATTTCTCTGAAGTTCGGATGAACAGCTTAGCTTCAGCTGGTGACCTGGAACTTCAGCATGGGTGACTTCACTTGGTTTTGGTTTTGTGGTGCTGGGGATCAAATCCAAGGCCTTCCACATGCTAGACAAGTGCTCTACCACTGAGCTACACCCCAGCCCTCCACTTTGGTTTTTAGCCTGTTCTGTTGAGGCCGCCAGTGCAGAAACTTAACCCAAAACAATGATTTCTAATTATTATTTAATATAACTTAAGGGAGAGAGAGAGTGAGAGAATTTAAAACTTCCCTTCATCCTTTAAGAAATTAGTTTTTGCTGAGCACTGGTGGCTCATGCCTATAATCCTAGCAACTCAGGAGGCAGAGATCAGGAGGATAGAGGGTCGAAGCCAGCCCAGACAAACACTTCGTGAGACCTATCTCGAAAAAACCCATCACAAAAAAAGGAGTGGTGGAGTGGCTCAAGGTGTAGACCTGAGTTCAAGCCCAGTACTAAGAAATTAGTTTTTAAGCTGGGCACATGTGGCTCATGCTTATTATCCTAGCTACTTGGGAGGAGAGATCAGGAGGATCAAGGTTCAAAACCAGCCTGAGCAAATAGTTCAAGAGACGCTATCTCGAAAAACCTTCACAAAAAAAACATGTCTGGTGGGGTGGCTCAAGTGGTAGAGCACCTACCTAGCAAGTATGAGGCCCTGAGTTCAAACCCTGTACTGCCAAAAGACATTAGTTTTTAAGAAAGAAGACATGACTGAGAGCAGAAAAGGATACTTTTAGTAAATAACATAACACTCCCTTCTAGATTGTAGGCTAAATGCTATTTTTTGTTTTAATATCTCTGGATGCATTTAAAAGTCAATTGGAGCAGGGCATGGTGGTTCATGCCTATAATCCTAGTTACTTGGGAGGCAAAGATCAGGATTGTGGTTCCACACCAACATCAGCAAAATGCTTGCAAAACACCACTTCCACAAATGGCTGGACACGATGGCACACACCTGTCATCCCAGGAATGGGTTGATTCCTGGGAAAATTGCAAATAAGATTGCAGTCCAGGCTGGCCAAGCATGAAGCGAGACCCTATCTCAAAAATAACCAACTCGTAAAAGGCTGATAAAATGGCTCAAGTGATAGAGCATCTTGCCTGGTAAGCTTGAACCTTGAATTCAACCCCCTGTACAAAACAGGGAAGGAAGGAAGGAAAGAAGGAAGGAAGGAGGGAGGGAGGGAAGAAATAGCTTTACTTGTCAATATTATTTTCTTTCTTGGTGGTACACAAAATAACAAGACCTCTTAACAACCAATGGCATTTTAGAGTGAAAAAATATGAAACAATTACATGACAAATTTATTTCACAGTCATGAACACATAGTTACTTGTCAAAAGGTAAATCTTTTCATGCAGTTTATGAAGTTAACATCTGTTTCGCAAAGAAGAGGTCAGCAGTACCACCATTGTGGTACTGGGCTCTACTTCTATGTTGTCAGGAGCCACATAGCAGGTCCCCTCAGACAGGTGCAGAGAGTGACGACTTCAAATGACAACAAATTTGTGTCATTTGAACGGCTTAAAAGTGCATAAATGAGCATTCTTTGGCAGAACATTAGACCAAAGAGGGCTGCACTGTGTTTCTGGAGGCACCGGGTTTGAGGAGTAATTTGAGGGGAATTTGAGGGGAAGCCGATAGTCGAGGGAGGAGGGAGAGGGGAACGGGCCTGTCCTGGTGGAGAGATGGCGGTGGCACAACGGAGGAAGATACAGAGTTTGGAAAGCAGTGCCACATGTAGAGGTAGATGTAGCGCTACAAAAGATAGGTGACAAGGTACAATCAAAGCATTGTGGACATTGACACCAGAGCTGTGGATTCAAATCCTAGCCAAGCTGCCCATTGCCTGGGGAAAGTTATTTATTTTGAGCCTCGATTTCCTCCTTTGTAAAATGGCTATAAAACATATTTATAAAGGAGTAGAGATATTGATAAAATACTTGGTAGGGAGCAAACAATACATGGAAATAAAACTGGCCAGAAGATTATGAATAGGAATGAATGAGCAACGCTGTTGTTTGGACGAGTACCGTGGTGTCTGTGATTAAAACGGACTGTAGGAAAGAAAGCGGTAGGAAACCAGTTAGGAGGCTTTCTCAAGCGTCCAGGGAGGGAACGGGGCGGGAAAAGGGTGGCTAGGGCGGGACCCGGGTGGAGGTCCGCAGCTTAGCGTCCTTCCCACGCTGCGCCCGCAGGGTCTCTCGCAGCTCCGCCCACGTGGGCGGAGACCCCGCACCTACCGCCGAGCCAAACGCCGCTTGTGTGGGCGTGGCCTGTGAAGGATCCGCCGCGGCAGCCTATCCGAGCGCCGCTTGCGTGGGCGTGGCCTGTGAAGGATCCTCCCCGGCAGCCTATCCGAGCGCCGCTCCTATGGGCGGAGCCCTGGGCGGCCCCGCCCCTCCATCCAGCCCTCCCTTCTTGCAGCCACCGCAGCTCTCTGGCTTAGGGACCTTGCTGCCTTGCTCGCTGGCCACCCTCGTCCGCCCGTGCGTCCCGAAAGCCACAGCGACAACATGTTGGGCATGATCAGAAACTCGCTGTTCGGGAGCGTAGAGACGTGGCCTTGGCAGGTCCTGAGCACAGAGGCCAAGGTAGGCCGGTAGGGCTGCGGAGGACCTGAAGGAGGACTGCGCCCCCACCCCCACCCGGGTCGGGGCTGGAGAGGGTTCAGAGGGCCTGGTGGGGTGGGCCGAACCCCGGAACGTGAGCTCGGGTTCTGCTGTAGGTGCGCCATCTGCGGCCCAGCGCATGGCCTGGGAAGGAGGGAGGAAGAGGAGGGGACAGAGTGACTTGAGGATCCATGTTGGCGACTTGGACATTGCCTGTTGCATGCATTCGTTCATTAGACATTCTGAACATTTTGGTTTGTTGAGAGACACGCGATTGCAGAAATGACTGACCAAAGCTGTACCTGGAGGGAAAGCTCTCATTAGCCGAGAGCTGAGTATAAAAAGTCTGCACTCCCCAGACCCGACGTGCCGGGAGGGGAGCCCAGGGGAAGAAGCAGGCAGCTCTTTTGGGGTCCCTTCACAGGAGGAGGGACCCACAAAATAGAGCTCTGCAAAGGATCAGAGCTGTACAAGTGCTTTTGGCCAAGAGAACTGCTGGTGTTGGGTGCCTAGAATGAGTGAGGACAGAATTGCTGAATTCCCCCAAATTTCTATCAGCGTGACATGGGCAAGTGGAACTGCCTTTCTGAAAGCAAGGAGTCAGCTACTAATTATAATCTTGCACACAGGATTTTTTATGAGCTTCCAGCCACTGGAAGTGTAGCATGAAGGACCATGTAACCTGGGTCCAGGTTCTGGGACTTGGACCACAGGTCCAAAATAGCCCTCAACTGGATTTTAGTCTGGACTCTTCAACCAACCACAGGCCTGTGACATCATGTCCCTATGTCTGGGTTTCCCCAGCTGTTTGTAGAGTGAGCAGTTTGAATTCTGATCAAAGGTGACATTTCAAATGCCTGCAGAGGCCAGGCAGATAATGGAAATGAGTGAAGGAGGCTGTTTTAGACTACAAGGCATGGTGGGGACTGGAGGGAACTGGAGAGAGCTCAGGTCTCCATCTACAAAAGATGACTCCAGCCAGTTGTTACCATGCAGTGCTGTGAACTAGTACCACCACACTTTTTTCTTGCAGTGCTGATACATGCTAGGCAAGCGCTCTGCCACTGAGCTACACTCCCTAGCCCAGTCTTGGCCAGATTTTTAAGAAAAACCAGATAGCAAATTCTTCATGGTTAATCTCAATTTAAAATTAGTTCAACAAATAAATATTTTTGAGTGACAACTATGTGCCAAGTACACTCCTAGGAAAGAGGATAAAGACTGAAAAAAAAAAAGAAAAAAAATCCCTAACATCCCTGCCCTGGTGAAGCTTATGTTTTACTGGCTAGTGAACAAATTAATAACTGACTGTATCGGGAGTGATCAGGTCTGTGAAGAAAAACATGGCGTGGGCAGAAGGAATAGGTGAGACTCTGGCTTTGAATGGATGAGGCAATTTTGTTAGATTTAACCATTGGCAACTGATTGCAGAGATCCTGACTGGGCCAGGTCACACCCCTGTGCAAGCCAGCCTGGGGGTTCAGCCCTGATAAGGGTTCCTGTGGCTCTAATGTGAAGAACACACGTGTCACCCACAGCCTCCAGAGACTTGTCCTTTCTGGAGAACAGGGAGCTCACTTGGTCTTTTGACATTAATGATGTAGGTGGAGCTTCTGGGCTGATCTGAGACCTGTGCCCTCAAATTCCTTCCTCTTCCATTCCCAGCCCTCCTGTCTGTCCCAAGGCTGACCCCTGGAGCTATGTCAACCAGCTCCAGTGTCAACTGCCTTCCTAGCTAGTTCTGGCCAGTGGGCGGCACCAGAAGGGGATAGACAGGAAGAAGGGAGAAAGCAGAGTGTTTCTCCTCTCTCTCTCCAGACTGTTCAAGTCTCCAACCCTAGGAAGTTTTTCTCTGTGGCTCTGGCTTGCACTATGCAGGCCTTCATGGTGCTAGCTTGTATAGGTGACTCAGATATCGGCGCTCAGGTAGCATATAGTCAATCTTCTGTCTCCTCTAGCATGCTTACTAACCCCTGAGCTGCCTCCTGTCCCATTTGGCACCTCAGCTCTTCTGTTATCTGTATAACTAGTCTCTTGCACCAAAATGCCTCTGTTCAAAGGGGAGCCATGAAAAGGGCAACAGAAACTAGACACATTGTTCTTCCCAAATGCCCTCCCTTTGACTAGTCCAGCCAATGGCAGTGGAGGTCAATTAAGGAGGCAAAGAATGGGTCCTCATCAGGACCCTGGTGCCATGATCCCTCTCCATTAGAAAGACCTACCCTAGCACTTACTAGATGGTTACTCAGCCAGTCTTAACCCACAGATGGGTGTGTTTTCTCTGTGGCACATGTCTCAAAGGCATTTGTCTTAATCAATAACCCTCTTGTTCAAGATTCAATAATACATTCCTCTATTTCCTCTGTTCTGAGTGATCTACAAGTTTCTATTTCCTAATAGAGCCTTACTGACAGTGTCACCCACCACTGATTTGGTTGGTGACTGATTTGGACTCTAGGAATAAACACAGCTCCCTGACTACCATTTCTCTCAATGTTTGATGGGATGTAAGGCCATATGGGATATTGTCACCAGGCTGAAGCAGATCACTTAACTGAAGAGAACCTCGGTTTCTGCAGCTGTACAATGAGTATAAAGACTCTTTTCCATCTGCTCCCAGAGTTACTACAAATATTATAGATTTTTAAACATGAAAATGTTTTACCAAATAGTACACATTACATATATAGTAATATAATTATGTCAGAACTCAGCTACATGATTACTGGCTATAATCACAGGCAACTTTAATCTCTCTGTATTAACAGACTATATTAATAGGCAGTTTCAATGAGATGACCAGTTCTAAATCATCAGCAGCACATCTGGCACCAGGCTGGACCCAGTTAGCTTCCTTTAGCTTTAGAGGTAATTTGGGGTAAGTTACTTAACATCCCAACCACTTTGAGCCTTCCGATTTCTCAACACTAAGATGAGAATGTCAGTGCTAGTGTGAGAGTTAAATATTCAAAGGTACATATGAACCTTTCTTTAATACACAGTCAGGGTGCTATTATTTTGAGAGCTCCTACCTCTGAAATGATTTCCCTTGTCCTGCAAAGAGTCTTGCAGATGGATGGCACACTGCATGCCCCAGGTAGCATGGTCTTCAGGCTGCCCAGGTGTTCAGGACTGATTCCAGGCAGCCCTCGGGGAAAGACGATGATAGACAGCTCTCCGTTGGGTTGGGTGGGTCCTGTGAGTGTTGAGGGCAGGACTGATATTAATTCCTGGCAATCTTATCAGATTCATGTCCAGCCTGTGCAAATATGTAAGAACCGATAGCCCAGGTTTAGAGTCTGCTTCCACCACTCACCTGTAACTTCGGCATGGTAGTTAACTTCTTGCTGTCCAATTTCCTCTAAAAATGAAGATTAAGAAGCACTTGCTTCTTCACAGGGTTGTTGGAGAGACTGAATGAATAAAGTCTTGTAAAGTATTTCAAATAATACCACACATACAGAAAGTACTGTTAGGTTAGTATTATTAATATTGTCTTCTAATAAGAACGCCAGCTTCCAAAATCAATATGTACACCCACCACATTAGAGTGCACCCGTCATCCCAACTAAACAGGAGGGAAGATTAAGGTCATCCCAGCTATGGTGAAAAGCATAAAATAGAAGGATCATAGTCCTTGGCAAAAAAGCAAACCGTGTCTCAAAATACAGAGAAAAAGAGGGCTAGAAGCAGAGGAGTGCCTCCCTAGCAAGCGTGAAAGCCCTGGGTCCAAACCCCAGAACCACACACGCACAAAGAAAGAAAAGAAAAAACATTGGCCTGGAAGAGAGCTTGCAACTCCCATAGCAAGAGACACCATTGTTTGTGCAAGAGACTCGAGAGATATCACTGCATGTTGAAAACTGGTGTTTGCAACCATAGGCCAAATCCTCATTTACTAACTGTTGAGGGCATAGGTCACCTGGAGATGGGACAAGCAAATGCACTAAAGATGTCAAACATTGAGAATCAAGACTGGCTTTGCACATGTGCCTTATTCTTTGCAGAAAGAGAGAATTCCAGTTAAATAAATTCAAACAGAGCTCCCTGGAGAACTAGAATAGTTTTACAATATCCATCTCTCAAACTTAAATTTTTACAGTGGTTCAAATAAGAGGGTATGGGCATAGATGCTGTGTAAACCAGTGGTAACTGCAGGAGACCTGGTTTAACACAGTGTGAGCCAGCCTTACTCCAGGAGATAATATTTGATTAGGTTCTCAACCTTCTATCTTGCTATAGCTATTATATTCAAGAGCTTTGACATTACAGGAAAACCTCTGTAGCCCTCCCTTCCCGAAGTGCTTTGAGTGTGTCTACAATATGCAAGATGTTGTTCTAGATACAAAGAGATGCCAGTGTGAACAAAATGACAGTCCATGGGGGCAGGGCTTAAACACATTATTATTAAAATATAGTTACAATAAGTATGTTGTCAAAGTACAAAGGCCTAGAAAAATACCCTGGGGAGGGCCAGGTGCAGTGGCTCATCTCTATAATCCCAGATGCTTGGGAGGCAGAGATCTGAGAGATCACAGTTTGAGGCCTGCCCATGCAGAAAGTTAGCAAGACCCCATCTCAGCAAAACAAGCTGGGTGTGATGATACACGTCTGGAATCTCAGCTATGCAGGAGGCATGGATAGGAGGATCTCGGTCCTAGGCCCTATCCAAAAAATAACTAAAGCAAAAAAGGGCTGAGGATGTGTCTCAAGTAATAGAGCACCTACCTAGCAAGCAAGTGGCCCTGAGTTCAAACCCCAGCACTGCAAAAAATAAATGAATAATGTCATGGAGATCTTGTTACATGTTAGGCTTCTGTCTGAGGAAGTAACTTTGGATGGGACCTATTGGGTGAGTAGGACTCATCCATCCAGCAGAGACAGAATAGTCCAGGCAGAGGAAGCAGCCAGTACAGAGGCCCCAAGTGGGAATGACCAGGATGTTAAGGCAAACAGCAGAAGGCCGATGAGGAGGCGCTCTAGTGATGGCTAGGTGGTGCCTGGTCATCCAGGGTTGATGAAGAAGTTGGTGCATGAAGGCTTTCCGGCAGAGGATTGGTGAACACAATTAGATTTGTAAGGAGCATTCTGCACAGGCCCCCAGCACAATCTCAAGCCCATTCAGAGCCTCAATCTTTATGATCATGACTCCCAGATCTACCTCTGTTTCTCGATGCCAGCCTCCAAACCCATGTGCCCAGCTGCCCAGTGGACAACATTCAACCAACAGGGGCAGGTGATGGACAGATACATAGGGCCCTTCCAGCTATGTGGGTGTCTGACTTCTGTAGTTCATGGGAAGAAGGATTAAGGGGGAGGAGATGAAGTTGAGTTCAGACTTAAAGAATGGTTGACTTCCAGACTCTCTACTTGAGACTCAGACATGCCTGAAAAAGCCTATACTTACATCACAGAAGACAATAGAACTCATTTAGGGTAGATGAAGCTGACTTGCAGTCAGACCACCTTCATTGAACATGGATACAAAGCCCACCTCCTGGGCCAGGCAAGGTGGATTACACCAGTAATCCCAGCTACTTAGGAAGTGGAGATCAGGAGGATTGCAGTTCAAGGCCAGCCAGGGCAAAGAGTTAGTGAGACCCCCATCTCAACAGAAAAGCTGAATGTGTTGATTAATTTCTATAATCCTAGCTACATGGGAGGCATACGTAAGATGATCATGATCCAGTCTGGTCCAGGTAAAAGCACAAGACCCTATCCAAAAAAGCAAAAAGGGCTGGGGATATGGCTAAGTGGTAGAGTGCCTGTCTCGCAGCACAAGGCCCTGAGTTCAAACCCCAATACCACTAAAATAAAAACAGACTTCCTACTGCTGGGCTCTGGCCCCTACCAGAACCTCTGCCTCATCCCTTGCCCTGTCTGGCAGACTTTGTCCCAGGCACAGTGAAGCATACTTGTATTCTTTGCTGTCAACATGACGTCCTTGACCTCTCCCCAGTCCTCAGTAGCCGCCCACTGGACTGTCAACAGTCACTGCATCACTTAACAATCATGTGTGTTTCTACTCACCGCCATCCTCACTACCGAGATCATGTTAGTCTTCAAGTCTGTAGCATCTGGCAGAGTTTTCAATAATATTTATTCAATGAAGCAATCACTGAATGTCCAGGTGAGTGGTCTGGAAACCTCTCAAAGTCAGTGTGACCTACCTAAACATACAGGCCCCCAGGCTAGCCCTCTTCTGTGCTCCCACACTGCCCTGACACTTGGCGCCCCTTCAGATATAACCTGTTGTCTTCCTGGCTGCTTCCTTACCTGACCAGGCCTTCCTTGATGTCAGAAACCATCTTTCACCTCTGTATTATAGCACCTGACACAATGATCAGCACATAGCAAATGATCCAGCATTGTTGGTTTTACCCATAAAAGAAAGAAAGGCCAAAGGAAAGAGCCAGCTGGATGTAACTTCTTGTTACTGGCTTCTCCATTTGTAAAGGAAGTAATTGCATAAACTGCATCCTGAGACCTTTGTTCTGAGTTTGACTCGGGCATACAAATGTCTGCCCCACATCACAACAGTAAATGAATGCTCTGTTCACCTCCAGCAACAGTGGAGAGTCTTGCAACAAGCATTAAAATAAAGTTTGGGGTCAGTCATTCTACTTCTGCTTTCTGCATTTGGTAGCAATCTTTGGGCAATCGTCTGTCTGGTTCTTCATTTCCTGCTTGATGAGATTTGTTGGAGTAGGTGAACTTAGAAACCCCTCTGAAATTCTGATGATTCAGAGTAGCATTTCTGGAATTTAAAACATTACAAATAGCAAGGTCAGTGGGAGCTCATGTAAAAAAAGTTCTGGAATTCCCTGCTGAGACAGAGCCAGAAAAGCAGAGTCCACATTAACAGTTGCCCACTGAAGCCTCTTTAGAAGTGTGGGACTCACCGAGTGGCAGGCCTCACAGCCATCCTGAGAATGACAAGACATGATGCCCCAAGGTTCTTGATCTGGCACAATTCTCCCTACCCAAGATGAAAAGAAGAGTTTAAGCACGAGATTGGCGCTGGGGCTCACTTTCCAGTTTCCCTGGACTCTCACTGATGTCCTTTAATTTGCATTACAAAAGCAAGAGCTATTTTTGCATTCCAAACATAAAGTTATATTAAATGTGTGTGTACAGACTACACAGGCCACTCAGCCCCACTCACTGCCTTCCCCCAGAGATTCTTTATGTCTCTCTGGGGGCACACCTCCTCCCTATGTGACAGTCCTTAGTCCAGGATGTCCTGGAAAAGCTCCTTTGACCAACCTGGAGCAGCCAGGGACTCAATGATGTGTTACTTTCCAAAATCATTAGCGGAAAGACAGCCCCTCAGTCTCCCCTCAGCCCCATTGAGCTGTCTCACGTAAGGCCCACAAAGACTTCATTGCAAACTTCATTTTTCAGTCAACAGCGCTCATAACCAACAGTGAAATCAATATGGATCAGCATTTCTTCTTTCAGTGCAGTAGAATAAAGTTCACTAAAACAGAGTAGAAGAAAACAAGATAGAAAGATAAAGAATCAGAAAACAGCCATTCATGAGTGTATACAGTATTATTTTGGCAGCTATCTGTTTATTTGTGGTCAGGCATGATGTAGGAATATCTGCACGTGGATTATGATTTTTTTTAATTTGGAAAATGTTGCCTTACTGAATATCCAGGAATACAAAATTATTTCATAGGAGACATCACCTGGCAATGCGAAGGGGGCAAGGAATAGGGGGAGTCTTGCATGAGCTATTACAACTCTAAACCCTAGGAAAGGATAACGATCTTAGGGGAGACTCAGTGCAGAGAGGGGAGGGGAGGGGAGAGAGGCTTGCATGGGAGGAAACACTGGAGCTGAGCATTAGAGGTTGGGAGGGAGGGGTCAGGGAGAGGAGCGCTGGGGTGTGGATCGTGGTGCAGTCCCTGGTTAGCCAGTACAAGGCCCTGGGCTCATCCCAGCACCAAGCAAGCAGAAAGAGTCTGGCAGTACAGTGTGTGCAGAATTATTCTGACCCCTCTTGAACCGCAGCCCTGCCAATGGAACCATGCTAACATTGGGCCTTCGAGTTGTGTGGGGTTGTTGTGGGTTTTGTTTCTTCTTCTGTTTTTCTGGCTCCCCTGTCATTTAGCTGTTGGGTCGCCTAGCTTGAGCCTCTGATTTTCTTTTCATGTTGTACTCCTTTACTTTCTAGCAAATTTCCTTCAGTTTTTAGCTTCCAACTTTCCTACAGAATTTTCCATCTCTGTTACCAGCTTCTTTTTATTTCCAAGAGCTCTTTGAATTTCTGAAGGTTGCATCTTTATAGTGTTCCAGTGTTTTGAGATGCAGTACCTTCTTTCATCTCTCTGAGAAGATCAGTTCTTATTATCATAGTATTGCTGTCTTGGGGGCACATTGTGACATTTACAAAAGTTCATAATATATCATAGTTGAATTCACCCCTCCATCATTCTCCGTTATCCCCCTCTCCTCCCATTCCTGGAAGAGTTGAGCAGGTGAGAATATCAATTATGTTAAGTTTTATTCAGCTCTTGACATTTACATTTATAAGAATCTTAGAATCTGTTTCTCAAAGGCCGTCATCCTCAGGCCTGTCTGCACTGTCACCTTGTTAACACAGGGATTTCCTTGCAGCCTGCACTACTTTGTACCTCTCACGCACTATCTCCGGTCTCTAGGAAGAAGTCTCCTACGAGGAAAGAGCCTGTGAAGGTGGGAAGTTTGCTACTGTGGAAGTGACGGATAAGCCTGTGGAAGAGGCGCTCCGGGAGGCAATGCCCAAGGTCATGAAGTATGTGGGGGGGACCAATGACAAGGGTGAGTGTCCCAGAAACACTTGGCTCTGACTTGGAACAGAGCTTTGCCTATCTCTCTTCATCAACAGGAGACAGGAAGGAGCTCTGTCACTACCTTTTCTGGTGTCACATGAACTCCCTGTATCACACGGACAAGGACTTCATCACAGGAAACTCAGGGGAGACCACTCCAGTGTCAGCCCAGCACACCACCCCGACACACACACACACACACACACTTTGAGATATCCCAGTTCTGCTTTACTTTGTATGGTATTTCCCAAGTGTGAAGCCCAGTACTCTAGTTTTTTTTAATACTACAATGTTCGTTGTGTCTTTGAACTGATTGGCTGGGTGAGGTGTCCCCACAGTAAGCTGAGCCCCAGGGCACAGCAAGGCCAGCATGGACTTGAGGCTGGGAATCCTGAACCAGTCCTCAGATTCTGCCAGGTACTGAGGCTCCCTGAGCAATAGCGTGGCTGTCCCAGGCTCTGTCCTGCCACGCAAAGGTCTGAGAACTCTTAGGCCATTACACTCTTAAAGACTTGGCGGCCCATGCTGGCCGTCTCCACGTTTTTTAAATGTACGGTGTACTTATTGGAGTATAAACCACATTTTTAAATGTTGGCTTTTAAGAAGCTTTCTGATTTGGGCAGCACTTTGACATCACTGCAAGCTAAGTACAGGTCAGAAAGCAGGGTGAAAAGAGACAGAGGACTTAAATTTTAGGATATTCTCAAACTGGTAGTTTAAAAAGATTCAAATAAATTAGTATTAACTGAAGTAGTATTCTCTAAGAGCAAAGTAATCAGGCTTTGGAAAATAAGTTGAGCAGTAGGAGGTCAAGAAGAAATCTTTAGGCACCAGCGGCTCACACCTGTAATCCCAGCTACTCGGATGCACAGATCAGGAGGATCGCAGTTCAAAGCCAGCATAGGAAAATAGTTCTCAAGACCCTATCTCAAAAATAACCAACTCAAAACAAGTCTAGAAGAGTGGCTTAACTTGTAGAGCATTTGACTAGCAAGTGTGAGGCCCTGAGTTCAAACCCCAGTACCACAGAATAAATCTTTTCCTTTTTAATACTGTCACAGTATTTTCTTAGATGAAAGCATGTATAAAAATTAAAACACTCAGCAAAGAAAGTCTTGAAAATAACAAAATAGTATCCTAATCTCCCTTTCCTGTACAATCATTGCATTTCTTTTTCTTCTTTCTTCTTCTTTCTTTATTTATTTATTTATTCTTTTTTTTGGTGAGACTGGGGTTAAACTCAGGGCTTTGTGCTTACACAGCAAGTTCTCTAGCATGTTAGCCACACCCCCAGTCCATTTTGCTCTGATTATTTTGCAAATGGGGTCTCACAAACCATTTACTCAGGCTGTTCTCCAATCGCAATCCTCCCAATCTAAGCCTCCCAAGTAGCTAGGATTACAAGTGTGAGCCACCAGTGCCTGGTCTGTCATTGTATTTCTTTATGGCTTTTTAATATAATCTTAAGGTTCCCACAATTGCACATTTTGCTTCTATGACTTATTATTTCATAATAAAGTTCTATTATCATTAAGTAGTCCTCTTAAACATTGTAACTCACAGCTACATTATATTGCATCATGTGCCCCTGACTTACTTAGACACACGACTGTTTTGAACAGTTATGAATTCTGCTGCCTTTTCTGCCTATTACCTGTAGCCTTTTCCATATTTTGCATTATTTCTTTAAAATTGGTGTTTAGATAAGAGCTAATTAAATACTTCTCTATCTACAGTCCTGATAGATACTACCAAATAATTCTTCACAAGAATTCTACCACCACACTCCTACCGCCTATGTATAAAAATAACAGCTGTTTGCATATGTTTAACTATATATTTTTAGCACTTGAAATGTTTGTGTTAATTTTAAGAACAGAACATATTGCAATGGGCGCTAGGCATGGTGACACATGCCTGTAATCCTAGCTGCTAAGAAAGCAGAGGGCGGAGGATCAATGGTCAGAGGCCAGCCTGGCAAAAAAGTCCAAGACTCTATCTGAAGAATAACTAAAGCAAAAAAGGGCTGGAGGCGTGGCTCAATAGTAGAGTGCCTGCTAAGCAAGTGTGAGGCCCTGAGTTCAAAAATCAGTACCACCAAAAAAATTTTTTAATTGCCATGGAAGAAGAATGGGACTAGTATGTGTTCCATGCCCCTGAGCAAGCTCTATCTATAATGTCTACTTCTCTCTGTGTTTTATGTTTGTAGGCATTGGGATGGGAATGACAGTCCCTATTTCCTTTGCCGTGTTCCCTAATGAAGATGGCTCCCTACAGAAGAAATTAAAAGTCTGGTTCCGGATTCCGAACCAATTTCAAAGCAACCCGCCAGTTCCCAGTGACAAGAGCATCAAGATCGAGGAGAGGGACAGCATCACCGTCTATTCCACGTAAGGAGACAATCCAAGGACAGGCCCATGGCGAAAGTTTGAGACCCTATCTGAAAAATCACAAGCAAAAAGGACTGGGACAGACCAAAATTCCATCCAGTGCAGGATTCCCACAGCTGAGGGAAGCACTTGCTTCCATAGCCACTCCTTAAATCCTCTCCCCTGAGCTTCTGCACTGGATTTTTATTGCTAATGAATTAATTCAAGTAAGAAATACTGAATCCAATGAATTAATTCAAGTAAGAAATACTGAGTCTCATTTCTTCAGGACACAGCACCCAAACATTGGCAATCTACCTGAATAACTACCTTGGTCAGTTGCCAAAATGATGGTTACCAAGAGTAACCCCTCAGTTTCAGCTTAAATGAACACCTACCTTAGCCATGGCAGAGTTCTAGAAGACTCACAGGATAGCTCAGTCAAGCTGGGATTTGGGATTATGGATATATGGGAACTATAAAGGGCTGAGAATACGTGATTTGCACTCTACACTCCTCTGAATGAGAATGGCAGGGAGCATTTTCCAGAGCAGGGCTGCCATTTCCCCTAGTTGTCCATGACCTGTGGTCCTTTCAATAGAGCCCACATCTATTTTATTGTCCTTCTGGTCCTGTTTTGAGGACCTCACTGGAGTTACACTCCTTTACCTGTGGAAGATAGCAAGTGCAAATTGTTGCGTGTTTTCTGGTTGTTTGTTTTGTTTTAGTGGTGCTGGGCATCAGACCTCACACATGCTAAGAAGGCTCTCTACTAAGGTACACCCCAGTGCTGTTGTGCATTTTTAGCCTTTGGGCCCCAGTCTTCCCTCTTTACGGTTGGTGATTTCCCGTTTGTTAAAACGCTACTGCGATACCTAACCAGGTAGAAGGGAAGACCAGAATCTCCACCACTAGTAACTGTAGGCTGGGGTTTGGCCTCAAACCACCTCATGAAAAATGGCTATACACATAAATAATCTTGCACAGGACAGAGTTTTGGTCCACTTCCAGGGACCTCCACACTTGATTGCTTGGGTTCCCTGTTCCAACTTGCACCTGAGAGTAGGACAGCTTTTCCTGGAGCCTGCCTGCCATAGCAGGTGAACCACAGAGCCCCCAGAGGACAGTGTGTATGATGCAGTTGTGCCATCCTCATTCACACTTTCCGGCCTCAGTGCAGTTCTGCAGAGAAAGCAAACTCTAATTAAGCAATGTCCTTTTCCAGGGCAGGGATTAAGGTAGGAAAGTGAGGCACCTAGGATGCAAAATTTAAGGAAGCACTGACTCTCACAGTCATCCAAGTGCAGAGTGGGCTCTTAAGTGTGACGCCTCTTTAAATCTTGCACCCTCAGGGTCTGCTTATCTCACCCTCGGTTTTTTTTTTTTTTTTTTTTTTGGCAGTACTGGGGTTTGAACTCAGGACTTCACACTTGCTAGGTAGGACTTCACACTTGCTAGGTAGGCACTCTACTGCTTGAGCCACACCGCCAACCCCTCATCCTTATTCCTACTCTGCGTTTCCCACTCTCTTTCCTTTCAGAGGTGGCCGAGGTGGCCTGGTGCAGTATAATGACCTAGTATTTTAGAGTGTGATTCCCAGCTGCTTCTTAGGAACAGGATGATGCTTGGGACATTACTAAGTCTCTTTGAATCTGTGATAATATGACCTGCCTCCTAGGATGTTGTCAAAAACGGTCTTTGAATATTTACTTAGATACTGTTTACTGTTTACAGATTCTTAATATTCATGACCTGTGGTAGGTTTCAGTAATTATTCTCTTTGCCCCTTTCGCATAAGAAATGAGGTTGACACAGTTAGATCTGTTCACATAAGACTTCATGCATCGCTGACAGTTAGAGTTGGTACAATGTTGTCTTTTGTTGTTAACTTTTAATCTGAGACAGGTCTTGCTATATAGCTCAGGCTGGCCTCAAACTCATGGTCCTCCTGCCTTAGCCTCACAGGTGCTGATATTAACGGCATGTGCCACCATGCCCAGATCTGAAATTTCTTTTTTTTTTAATACCACAATGCCTTACTACTCCTAAAATTTTAACAGTAATTTGTTAATATTCTAATAATACCCAGTGTCTGGGTTCTTCCCATTATCTTACAGTTTATCTGAATCCAGGTCAAAGTAAGATGCATCCATTGCAACAGGTTGGTGCATTTGTAGACTTTTATAATCTGCAGCTGTCTTCACTGGGACATGTCCTCATTTGTCCTTGCAGTTTGTGGATCACTTTTCCTAGTGTTTCCCTGGTTCACTGGTTGCATTTTTGTGACACTTCCGCATGTTCCCCTGTCCTTTATTGCCTGTACATTAGGACTTGGAATAGATGTGTTCAGATTCAGGTTTGAGGTATGAAGCACAAATGTTTGCTAGGAGGTGGTGTAGACCCCACCAGGGCTCATAATGCTTGGTTCCCTCAATCATTGTCATGTTAACGGCCAGAGGTCATTTCTGCTTAGATGATGGTTAGGCTCTCTGAATACTTACACAAAGAGGAACTTTCCTCTTTCCTGCTTGAGGCAGTCACACAGAAAAAGTAAAGTATGTAACGCAGAGAAACTAAAGCAGATACCTTCAAAGCAACTGAGGCCAATAGGAAAAGGGGACCAGGAACTAGAGAAAAGGCTAGATCAAAAAGAATTAACCTAGAAGGCAACACACACGCACAGGAAATCAATGTGAGTCAATGCCCTGTATAGCTATCCTTATCTCAACCAGCAATAACCCTTGTTCCTTCCTATTATTGCTTATACTCTCTCTACAACAAAATTAGAGATAAGGGCAAAATAGTTTCTGCTGGGTATTGAGGGGGTGGGGGGGAGAGGGAGGGGGCGGAGTGGGTGGTAAGGGAGGGGGTGGGGGCAGGGGGGAGAAATGACCCAAGCCTTGTATGCACATATGAATACTAAAACAATAAAAAAAAAGAAAAAGAAAAAGTAAAGTATGTGGGCCGGGAATGGAGCCCAGTGGTAGAGTATTTGCACGCGTTCCATCCCCAACACACAGAGAAAGGAGGGGGGGAAGGAAGGAAGGAAGGGGGGGAAGGAAGTGTGGTACCTTCTCTTTATTTGCCAATTTTTGGAACAATGAGTCACTCCTTGACTTCCTTGAAGGAGAGTTGGCTTTCATCTGTGTTTTTTGAGTGTCAAGAGAAACACATGAATTTGGTCATCTGTGATGCAGTTCTATCTTTGCAGTGACTGTTCTTACTGATGCTCACATCAATCCCACCTCCATGAGGAGGCCCCCACAGGTTTCTTAGTTCTTGCTGCACACAGCTTTCAAGCAATCTTATTATCTCTTGCTGTAGAGCTGGAAGTAATCATTTCTCTAAGGAACCCTAGTTCCTTATGATGGAAAAAGGGATCTTCTTAAAGGATAGATTAAAGCCTATCCTTTAAGAGGATAGAGGAAGAATCTTTTTAGTTCTTTGAAATCTAAACAAATGAAAGTACTAAACACAGTGTTTAGCCTGGCTCCATGAATTGAATTTAGTGAATGCTATTCCTAGACCAGCCACTAGGTGTCACTGTTCTCAAATGTGCATTTGAAAGTACTCCACGGTTAGTTAGTTGTGTCAAAGCTACGTTAGAGAGATGGTAGAGGTCAACAGTCTGTTTCAAATACAAAACGACTGTTTCAAGTTATGCAGTGACTGCATTTGGGGACAAAATTAATTCTAACGAAAGCCTTGCATCCTTCGTTCAGTTTTCTTTTTCTATGGCCTTGTGAAGAGATATCCACAAGGGATTATACCTTCATTAGCAGTATTAATTACCAGTGTTCTTTAGATTAATAGAATACTGTGGGAGAAATAACACCATCAGAACACTCACAGTATTCTCAAGCGGTAAGAGAACTATGCACACACTTAGACACGGGATGGTGCTCCATACTGCCATCCTCTTCTGTAAAGGCCACTGAGGTTAGAACTCAGCCTCCAGCACTGGTTCTCAACAAAGACCTAGAGCAGAGGAACTGTTCACCATTTTTATGAGCTGTCTACATATAAAGAGTTGGGAAGCTGGGTATGGTGGTACATGCCTGTAATCCCAGCTACTTAAGAGGAAGAGATCAGGAGAACTGCATTCAAGGACAGCTCAGACAAAAAAAAATTTTATGAGACCCCCATCTCAACCAATAGAAGTTGGGTGTGGTGGTGAGCACCTGTCATCCCAGATCTGTAGGAAGGGAAAATAGGAGGATCGTGGTCCAGACCAGCCTGGGTATAAAGCAAGATGCTATCTCAGAAATAACCAACAGAAGCTAGGCGCTGGTGGCTTACACCTGTAATCCTAGCTACTCAGGATGCACAGATTGGGAGGATCACTGTTTGAAACCAGACTGGGAAAAAGTTCTCAAGACCCTATCTTGAAGAAACTCTTCACAAAAAAGGGCTGGTGGAGTGGCTGAAGGTGTAGGCCCTGAGTTCAACCCCTAGTACTGCAAAAAAATAAACAAAAATAACCAACAGAAAAAGTGCTAGGGATGTGATTCAGTTGGTAGAGCATCTGCGTGGCAATGCAAGGCCCTGAGTTCAAACCCCAGTACCAAAAAGAATATGCACAGTGCAAAAAGTATGCACTGGTCATAGCACTGGTGTAGGTGCTGAAGGTGCAACAGAGAACAGGCCAAGTCTCTACCCTCTAAAGGGGAGGAACATTCTAGTGGGAAGAGCATACACAAAGCAATGTCTCAAAATATTGGAGGACTGATTTCCAGGCACCAGAACCAGTATCCACAGATTGAAATTATAGGAAGGCATCTTTCTACTCAAGAATAAAAGTGTGATGGCAGAAAAATGGACTGATGACAAGGTCCCAACATTATTGCCCCCAGAGGGTTTCATGCAACATCTAGATAGGCGTGTGACATTCTGCTGAGTGATGATTGGAAGTTTAGGAGTTTGGTTGAATTTAAACATGTTTATTGAGTAGCTCTGATATTTAAGCCACCTCACTACTAACAGCCTTGCCAATGTTAAGACTATGTATCTAAAACCTAATT